AAACCACCTAGCTGTGACACGTTTATTCTTCTCACTGCATTTTAAAATGTCTTGATAAGTCACTGTTATTAAAGTGTTCTCTCCTCCTCCTCTCTTTCTCTACTTCTAATGTTCTCCCAGACTTTTGGAGAGAAGTTGCTCGGTGTAATGTCATGGATTATGCCCATCTCTGTGGCTCTCTCCACCTTCGGGGGGGTCAACGGCTCCCTCTTCACATCGTCACGGTCAGTTTATCCTCCATCTTTTGTCATCGCAGCTTCTGTGGCTGCTGTGCTTTTTTTTTTTTAATTGACTTGTTCCTTTGCTGACATTTGAGCCCGTAGATGTATATGGAGAAACTGGGTAAGCAGTGTAAAAATAAGGAAGCTACACAGAAATTGTAAAATGTATGATAGTAACAATCTCTCATCATTAGGGCTAAAAATTTGTTTTTTTGCATTATATGGGAAAAGTCTAAACAGAACATTATATTCCCTGTTCTGTAATTTTAGGTACTTTGAAGTGTTTTATGCTACTCTATATTTTTCCAATACATTTGACTGACAGCTTTAGTTACTTTATAGATTCCGACTGAACCCATACAAATTATTAATAAACCAATACAAGAACATTGACATATATTCATAGTTTCAGGGTAAGGTGTCATTCGCACTGATGCTGTCCCCACCCCTTTTTTTAAATGGCCGATTTCTTTTCTTTTTTAAAAATGTTCTGAAAAACAGCTTGAACCAAAAAAATGACATGTAGAATGAATCAATGTGCAATGTCGTTAGCTCAAAAAGCATGCATGGACTGATCAATAACTAAATGTTTGACATGGTTTCTTGTTCCCCTAATCTCAGTAATCATCTGCTCTAACCCTGATCACTCAAAATTGTACTTCTTGAAGACTATTTAAAAATATTGGGACACCATTTGTCCCCACAACTTTTCAACACAAGGTGACACCCATTTGGTAAATGTAATATAGTTTTTAAGTTAGTATTGCTACTTAAATAAAACATCCGAGTGCTTCTTTCACCACTCCTGGTAACCCCACATTCCACAGTACTCCTGTTTTGCTAAATGTTCCACCCTGACATTCTGACTTGCGCACTCTGTCTCTACAATAATGACCTGAGCTGTGTTCCCTGAGCTCTCAGCTGCTGAGTGCACACTGTAAATAAGCAGCAGCTGCCTCTGCTCTCAGGACTTCACCGTCTCCTCTTCTGTCTCTCAGGCTGTTTTTCGCCGGAGCGAGGGAAGGCCATCTCCCACGTCTGCTGGCCATGATTCACGTCAAACACTGCACCCCCATCCCTGCCTTACTCTTCACTGTGAGTCCTTATCAAAACACTACATCCACTTTTTATCCTTTTTTGCCTTTTGAAGAGATGATAACCCCTCCCTGTTGCCATTTTCAGTTGATCTCCACCCTGCTGATGTTGTGCACCAGTGACATTTACACCCTCATAAACTACGTGGGCTTCATCAACTATCTCTTCTATGGCGTCACCGTCGCCGGGCAGATCGTCCTGCGCTTTAAAGAGCCCGATATGTATCGACCCATTAAGGTAAATACACTAATAGGTATTGAAAAGAAAACCAAATAAAAGATAAAAACACAATATTACTATGTGTATATTAAATGTGTTTAGATATCACAGTTATAGTCAGTACAGGTAGGTTGATAGATTCAGAATGATTCAAAGGCTTATTGTCAAATGCACAATGGCTAAAGTGGAGTTTTGGCTCCTCCAACAATGCAACATAAACATACATAAGATAAAAAACAATAAAAATAGTTGAAGAAATATAAATAATATACAGCAAGAGAATGTGCAAGTAGATGAAGAAATTAGTAGGATATAGATGGAAAAATATAAAATTTAAGAAAAGTGAATGTAAACTGAAACTGTATACAGTGGAATACATTTCTTTTTTTCCTTGTTTATTATATATAATTCTGGTTGATGTTTAACCAACAATCAAATTTCACAATTCTTTGAAGCAATGCTTGATCATAAAGGTTTCTATGTGGCCCAAAGAGGTGTCGTAGGGCAAGCACAATTTAAACAAGACAATTCAAAGTGCTTTGCAAAAGCATTAAGACAAAGAATTTTGAAACCCCCATTAGCCAAGAGAATACAAAATAATGTAATATAATAGTTATTTTATTTAAGAAAAGGCAGTGGAAAATAGACATCAGTCTTGATTTAAAATTATTTAGAGTTGCAGCGGACCAGCCGCTTTCTGGGAGTGTGTTCCAGATAACATAAAAAATGTCTTTAATGATGATAAGACTGTAATTTTACTTTTGTTTCTCCCTGGTCCTCCAGGTGAGCCTGATGTGGCCGGTGATCTACCTGCTGTTCTGGGTCTTCCTGATGGTCTTCTCCCTCTACTCTGAGCCGGTTGTCTGCGGCGTTGGCCTGGCCATAATGATGACCGGCGTCCCTGTCTATTTCCTGGGAGTCTACTGGGAAGAGAAGCCACAGTGTGTTGACAGTTTGATGGGTAAGGCAACATTCTAGTGTCTCAAAATAGAAGATGTTTAGAGTTTAAAAATGTTATTTGAAAAATATCATATAGGAATTTAATTGTTAAGGTTGTGTTCATCAGGATAAATGTCTTTTTTAATTAAGCACTTTTCATATTAAATTATTTCCTTGGTCTCTTTCCCCAACTGTACCCAGGTAAATTTACTCATCTGTGCCAAAAGCTTTGTTTGGTGGTCTATCCGGACATGGGGGACAAGGTGGAGCCCAAAGGGTCTCCAAAAGAAGATGGAGATAAAGAAGATGGAGGAAGCCCTCTGACAGCTGAATCTTGATGATGTGCATAAACAATCTCCAACAATGCCTCGCTCTTTTTTTTTCTGGAGAAGGAGGGGCAAAAAGGCACTTATCATACATATGCACTTGTTCTACGACATTGGCACGGGCATAGATGCTTTGTTGAAAAGTCACTGATGTTTAACTTATGTAACACTGAACATGAAATTATTACTTAAAAATATGTCTGTCTTATTTTGTATTCAAGTGTGGAATAATTATTATTCCATCGGAAAGTGTTTTCATATGCAAGTTGTTTTGTAAAATCTGTTCTCACCTCACTATTCTAACACTAAAACAACATTTTCCAGATGGAATAATGTGTTTTGTTCACATTGGAGTACATAACATGTGTGTGTATATCTATATATATATATATATATATATATGTGTGTGTATAAATTATTCATTTAAAAATATTCCCGTTGAAGGTTTTTTATTTAATTTATTTTTTGATCAAAAGTTATTTTCTCGATTTATGAAGAGTTTATGTGAAGTGCGACTTTCTTAAAAGGAAAAAAAGTGTCCAATTAGGCATAGCGTGGAAAGAGCAAAAACGGCTACATTTAAAATGTTCTTTATTTATAAATTAACAGAAAGCTTTTGTTTGAAAATTAAATATAACTATTAGTTGCCCAATGCATATTTGCACGTGGTTCCCGTATACCACGTTTTTTTTCCAATCCTAAAACTATTTTAGACAAGAGTTTTTGACAAGTTGAATACCAGTAGTATTGTTACTGTGCTGCCTGCTGAAGGTCCTCATCAATGTTTTATCTACCTGTTGGAACACCTGACGTAGAAGGGGCGGAGCCCACGCACCGTGAGCGATCAAATTGCGGAAGTCATGGGCTATGACGCTGACGAGGTTGGTTACAATTTTACGATGCCCTGAAATGGACAGGAAAGAAGATGCATTTGCTTTCAAAATAAAAGCCTATCAGTATCCAAATAATGCTGGATCAATTCAAAGTTGTGGATTAAATGAATCAAATCAAACCAGAACATCTATTTGGTGTATTCTAAATCATATTTATTTATACAACACTAAGTACTGTCAAATATGTTTAAATATGTACATCTTGTAGCTTACACAACAATTGTAAACAAACTTTTCCAATCTAGGGTAGCCTATATCGAAATAACGTAAGCCTAAGAGCTTTTAGGAGCTTGAGTCTGTGGAAATCCAGGGCAGCTGCACACTGATAGTTTAGTAATCCAGTATTTGCTCTACCTAGTGATTTAGAATCAATTTCCCCCCTGTGTTGACACAATTATTGTTGGGGGAAATTGATTCCCCAATTAGTTCATTTGGATAACCATTTTACTTTTTTTACTTTTTTGAAATAAGTAGGCTACTGGCCACCACAACCATCTTACATTAAAAGTGAATAATTAGGGTACGTGTTATGATATATAGTGTGACATATTTTCAGGATGCTACTTGCCATCTACCAAGGTACAGTAGCCTAGTCTTCAATTTGTTATACTTGTACTGGAACTATTTCCCACACTTCTAATCCTTCTGTCCATCTGCGGATGAAGAACATAACATGTGGTTGAAATACATAAACAGCTATAGTGGCTCAAACTTGGGTTAAGATTATTATTTTTTATCTAAACCTCTAAATTACTGTTATTATCACTGTTCCCTGCAGACCTGTCACAACAGGCAAAGCACAGCAAGTAATAACACTAACGAGGGCTCTGCATATCCCTCGTTAATGTAACAGTCTGTGCTTTTTGTACTCATGCATCACAATTCAAAATGTCTGCTGGGGAAAAGGCCTATTATTCTCCCAGAAATGATATAAAAGCAGTGTTTGGATATTTTAAAGGGAAATTACAAAACAATACATAGTTGGTTTGCTTTTGATATCAAGCCAGACATTTCTCAGACAGACATTTCTCAGGTGGCAAAATGTGACCTCAATTTTAAGTCCTATCTCTTTTCCAATAAATGTCCATTAAGCTGGTGAGGCAGCTATGAAAATTAATGCCCTGTAACTTGCGTGTACACCGTCTATATACCATAATTAATGTTATTAGTTTCACCCGGGCTATTCCTGGTATGTACACTACAAATGTTATAATATAAGGCCTAATAAAAAAATACCTTCCTGTGAATTTAAAATGCGTATTTTATTTTGAAAGGTGTGACAGGAAGTCTTGTGATTATACTCTCATCCATTGACACTACATGGATCCACAGTATTTGGGTTTCCAGCCATCTGACTGCATTCGTCTATTGGAGGGGGTTCGGTTGAACCGCTTTACTTTTCAAATACTGGGGACTCTGCACAGAGTAGAGGTAGGTATTTATTCTGTAGCTTAAACCATTCACATAAACACACCTCCATGCTAAGTTAGCTAGCGCTGTAGCTCTCTCACTGAGCAAGCTTGACAGCATCTGAAGGTTAGCTCTGCTCGGTCACTTGGCTAGCCACTGCCTCGTTTCACTGACCTGCATCATCGACTGGGGGAGTGTCATGCTAACTTGAATCTATTTGATACCTAAATGTTTTTTTACAACGTAAATTATGAAGATGGAGGTAGGTTATTGACAAGTTTAGCCATGTCTATGAGTAAATAACGCTATGCCAATATGTCACCAGGAAGAGCATTCAGCTTACCAGACGTAGTTGAAGTAGTTTGAACTGTTTTTGCAATATTTACTCTTTGGCTTTGTGTTTTAGTAACACCTTAGCTCTTTTAATGATTCCTTTATTATGGTGTAGTAACAGCTTTACGTCATTAACCTAACGTTACACACACAGGTGGGATTTTTCAGTAACAGGAAGTGAAATGATGCTAATAATTGTAGTATAACTCTGCTCTGTTACTTTTCTGTCATTTAAAAAAATCCATGACACCCCATGTACACACACACACACACACACACACACACACACACACACACACACACACACACAGCCATGTCTCCTTCAGTACCCCTACAGGAGATGATCCGGGCCATCAGGTCAGCCAGGACGCAGTGTGAGGAGCGAGGTGTCATCCAGAGGGAGTGTGCAGCCATCCGGGCACAGTTCAGACAGGCAGACAATGGGGGGCGATCGCACAACTTGGCCAAGCTGCTCTACGTGCACATGCTAGGCTACCCTGCTCACTTTGGTCAGGTGAGGGGGGATTGTGCTAATTCCTTTCATGGGTTAGCTTGGGTTAAGGGGTTTAGCAGGGGTGAGAAACCATCATGCTGCTGGATGATCCGGGCTCAATTCATCGCTGATTTGTTCTCGTGTAAGATAGGGGCCTGGTCCCAATGTCCAACCACTATGTGTTTAAACTGGTTCCACATAGACATGATCTGTGTGCTTGGCAAACATTTGTTATTGCATGACAAAGCTCTAAAAACATAAAGAAATGACAGCAACTTGTGGAATAGTAAGCTAAATGCATAAAGTTAAGATAATATTAGTAAGTCTCTGCTGGGGAAACTAGTTCTTCTGGCTCTCGTTTGACATTCCGTCTCATTACAATGCTTTGAATCGTGGTTAATTCCCTCAAGCAAAGTCTACTCTGCAGCATCTTAAACCACTGAAACCTTTTCAGTTCCAGCAAGGCTGCAGCTCTCAATCTGACCTCCACTCAGAGAGGGCAAAGAGCTGTTTGTTTCCCTCGGGGCATCAGCAGTGTGAGTACAGTATCTCATGTCACCTCACATTAAAAGGAGTTGTGGTTTTCCCGTCTAGATGGAGTGTGTTCGGATGATAGCCAGCCCTCGATACAGCGAGAAGCGTGTGGGATATCTTGGAGCCATGATGCTGCTGGATGAGAAGCAGGATGCCAGTTTGCTCATCACCAACTCCATCAAAAAGTAAGAACAACTACTTGAACTTGAAATCTGAGATCGTAATAAAAAATATTAGTAAAACCACTGTATTTAACATAAACAGCCAAAGGGCAATTTTACACCAATGTTTACAGGACTTTGGGAGTACCACTGTATATGTTAAGTTGCATCAAGTGATGTCAATTGATTATCTGTTGGGTCTGAAGACCACAACTTTTAAAATTAAGAAAGTCTTGGGGAGTGGAGTTGGTAAGAAGTACATTTACCAGATCTTTGTTGTCTCCTCATCTCTGCTAAAGGCTTTAAACTTGAAGATACATTAGCCGCTACAATCCTAACACACCTTAATCTCCAACCAAACTATTGGCAGTTCAGGTTGCATTGAGGGTAATGTAGGCACCACGTTTTGGCAATGGAATAGAAGGCGTGGAATTGAAAAAGACGCTATCTGTTGTTGTGCGCCATCAATTTTTTATAAATGTTTTAACAATCCATCTTAAGTACAATATTGATATAGGAGTACAAAATGTTTAATAATTAGTTGGAGAACTCGTTAATAAATATCTTACAATGTATATAAAGCTGTTTATAATGCATAGCTGTTTAGGTAGCTGTTATAGTGTCCAGATCATATCGGGATTTTAAGTGCTAAATGGTGGGGATAAAATGACATGGTACTAAGTTTTATGTGTTTTATGTTAACTTCTGGTACAGCACTGGCAAAAGATCAATTACTGGTATTCTCATTATTTGGTTAAGGACATCATAATATTTAGTTTGACGATAGGTAACTGTCATAATTGACGATACTACACTTCCATGTATACAGAGTAACTCAGAAAAGAGAATCAGAGCAAGTCAAAAGATTATCTGTTT